CTTCACATTCAGCAACCTTTAAATTAAACCAGAGATTCTTAGAAGGATTGAGGTACAGATCGTTTAACTAGTTCTTCTTAAACCACTGGAGGGTCACTGTTTTGCCTGAATGTGAACCTTCGCGCCTGTCTTAAAAGCTGTGGACTCAAACAAGTTCCTTCCTATTCATCAGTTCCAGCTGATGAAAACCCACCATGCTTCAGTGTGGAGATAGTGTTCTCAGCATGATGACAGGTAGATTTGCTTTGTTGTGGCGCTTGATGACTACAGCACCTTCTTCCACATGGTTGTTTTTGTGTGATTTAAGCAGTGTCTTTTTCCAACCACTCTACCAATTATGTGGTTTCTCAATGGGACTTAACAGCAAAAGGGCTGAAGGCCACATATACACCACGTTTTAGTTTCACATATATAAAAATTATAAATATTTATGGTAACGCTTTCTTTTATGGTACCCTTAATACCATGTAATTACAAGGTAATAAAAGCATGTAATTACTACCTTATTACCATGTAATTACATGGTAATTAGTGTACAGTTTTACTATATAATTAATTGTCTGCAGTAATGTAGCACTTACCTGGTAATATATTACAATTCACTATGTAACACCTAAATAAGTAATTTGGACAGTTTTAAAATTATATTTTATTGCAATTAACCACTAACCCCAAAATGAAGTTGCATTCTTTTGGTTAAAAATACAGTTTTGAGTTACTATTGAATAGTAATTTGATTGTAGTTACCCAATAAAGGTAGTTTTACTAACAGTAGTTTTTCTTTTGTACCCTAATCACCTTGTAATTACATGGTAATAAGGGTACCGTAAAAAAAAAGTGTTAACATATTTATTTGGGTCTGCTCCCATATGCCACAGACCCTCTTTTTTCATAATTTTTATATTTTTGTGGAATTATTGTTTTTAGTTAAATTATAAATTCAATTAAATTCCAGGATGTAAGGCAACAAAATGAAACCAAGTGTGAAGAATACTTCTGCAACCCATTCATTGTATGTAAGCAATAATTTAGATTTTAATATAGAGACAAAATGTGGTAGTAATGTTTAGTTAACAACACAGTTTAGACAGAAACTATAGATCTGAATTTTAACACTGAAAATCAAACATTAACAGTGAAACCTTTGAACACTATGAATCATTAGCAACACAAAGCAAATTACTAGTGTGTGGATGCACGTTTCACACTTAAACTATCCCTGTGAGGACACTTGTCCTTACAAAGAAAAACCCCATTTGTGGGTTAGGTTTAGTTCTAAGTATATTTAAGTTTTGGATATATAAATAAATAAAACTTTCAAAAATATATTGATATGATATTTTAAACAGGTAACAAAAAGAATAAATGAGGGTTTTTGAAAAGTATGTGATTTTATACCTCAGAATTATATAAAAACAAAAAAACTTGGTTTGCTCAAACTTTGAGTAATTGTTTTGTACACAAGAAACTATGAATTATTTTCAAGGCTAACTTGACACCCAAAAAAAAACTTTACTTTAGATGTAATATTTTTTCTTTAATATTTTCTGTAGATACTAAGCCATTAGCTCAAGAGTGTGATATAGTTTGAATAACTAATAAATAAAAGTTTGCTCACAAAGCTAATTTAGTTTGACATGCTGTTAGCTTTTTGAGCTTTAATGAGTTCTCTTTTGAGAACAGTTGCAAACATATTAAAGCTTGCTTTTTTACTGAATCAAAATCACTTTGTGGACCATCTGTTACAAAGCTTTGTGATTCATTGCTAATTAAATGATTTAAACTTTAGCTTCAAGAATCACACAAATAAGTTATTGATTAGTGTGTTATAATACAGCAGAAATTAGTTTATCTGATGCTTATCTGGTTAGGGGGAAATAGTATGAAACAAAAATTTAGCAATAAAATAACACGTCTCATAAACTGCATTAAAAATTATTAAATGGATGTTTGTTTTCGACCTTTTTTTGTAGATATGTGTGTATGTGTGTAAGAGGTTTGAAAATAGGGCTATGTGCACTTTGTCTTATATGTTGAACTCTGAGACATGGACTCCACAAATCCAAAGTAATGTTCATCATTGTGTTTTACTGTGTAACAGTCAAAAGATCAAATTTGTGGGATAAAGAATAGTCAGGGACTCATCAAATTTTCATTGTCAGATTAGGTTCTTCTCTTGTTGATCATGTTGATGAGTTGTGTTCTCCAAAAAAAAAAAAAAAAAAAGTCGGAGAATGTTCTTAGCTTTATGGAAAGATGCATCATTGTCTTGAAAAATTACTTCATCGTCAAACTCACGTTTTATTTCAGTTCATAAAAAAACTGAATCTGGATCTAAATTAGATTTTTTGATTTGGACTTTTTCTGTACCGTATAAATCAAAAAATCTAGTTTAGATCCAGATTCAAATCCAGTTATAGTCAATACATTGTGGGTATAAGATAAAATATGGTGCATTATAAAATGCCAGTTAGTCTTCACTTTGTCACAGTCTTCCATCCTGACCATCAGAATAGCAACAGTGGAACAACTCCATTTTAACAGGAAAAAAAACTGTTGCAAAAACCTTAAATTAACAAAACCATGGGAAGGTTAGGTTAGGATGCTTTATTTACACTTGTAGGAGGTTTTGTTTTGCAGTGGTTCAAAGCAAACATTGCACTGTAGAAAAAAAAACATGAATATAAGCAGACCCATTCACATTTAACAGTGCTCAATTTGCTGCAAATCTAAGTAGGACTCAAAGAGTAAGACAATAAAATATGAAAAAACTGGTTAGATAAAAATATTAACTAAATCTGTTGAAATCGACCAAGACCCTTCTGGATGTAGCGTGACAGCAGGTGCCTGAAGAGGCTGGATAAGAATTTTAGAGCGTGGAAAGAATCTTTTAGAGTCAATTTTTTTCCTTCCTGCATCACAAGAGAAGATCTTTGTTTTTATGTAGATGAGAATTTTTTTTCCTGCTCTCGGAGGAGTAAGACCCTTTTTCCTTCTCTCCTGCCCTTCCTCATCTTCCCTGCTTGGAGCCTTCTCTACGATTTCATCTGAAACTAGAAATTATGGATATTTTTATTTTCATGGATTTGGTTAGCTGGTCTATTAATAAATTTTTGGAACAAGGTTTTTTCTTCCATGGGAGGACATGTCAAAGGTGGGACCTCTGTTCTTCTCTGTTCTGGATAAATATTTGGATTCTGATCACTGGATTCTACAGATTGGCTTGGTGGTCTCCTGGTGTTCTACAAAACAACGTCGGTGGCTATTCAGGCCCTTTCCTGGCTGCCTGACCATTATGAAGGATTGCCGTTCTTTCAGCACTCAGACTTTTGCCTTGAGCGAGCTGGACTCAGTCTGCAAGTGGTTCTGCAGAGGGTCGCGGGCCGGCTGTAGTCCCTGGACTTTGCTGGCCAGATGGAATTGATCTTTGAGAATCTGATAGCTCGGCTCGTTGGGATTGTCCACACTACGTATTTGATTGGATTCGCCACCTTGAGATGTGTCAGTGGACATTGAGGCAGATGAAAAATTGTTATTGTCTGCCTGACCCAAAACATTTTCTTCTGTTCCCAAACAACTGATTACAGACTCCCCCACCCCCAACACACACACACACACACTTCCCCCCTCTCACTCCCTTCTGTAATATGATCCCTTGAAGGACAACCTGAAGCTGCACAAAATGAACAATTCAACACCAATATTCTGAACAATGGCTGAACTACGGGGGTTTATCTTTTGGGGACTGCATTCTTCGGACTCATTCTTCAGATATTCACACAAGTGCATACAACATTCATGACTTCAGATACACGCTCTCTAAACTCACTTACTCCTCTGGCTAATAAATGTGCTCTTGCTTGTTGAGGGTTTTTTTTTATAAGCACCATAGTGTGTCCCTTTTGTTGATATAATATGTTTTGGTTTTTTTTCCTCATCTAACCTTCTTTGGTATTTAGTTTTTATTTTTTTAAAGGTAGCGCGACCCCTGCTGGTTGCTGCATGGCCAGATCACCTGTTTCCCCATGTTTTTGTCATGTGTGTCTTCTTGAATGGGTGTTCTCAAATGTAACTGCATTGTGCTCCATACAATGACAATAAAGGCATCATCAATCAATCAATCAATCAATCAATCAATCAATTTGTGGTCCAACAGACGGAACCATCAGGACTTAAACTGCACTGTAATTCCTACAGCACTGCATGTACAGGTTTCCTTAAGGAGATTGTCCAACATGTTCACATTTCTGCTTTTGTTTTGTGCTCTGCAGTGAAATCTTTTCCTTCCTTTATTACAAGGAGAAGGTCCTGCCAACAAATTACAGCACAAACAGTAAAAGCATAAATATAAATCCTGTCCTGTCTTTTGCAATCAATCCTCCACAATTTAATTTGTAATCTAGAATTTATCCATAGTTTACATCAGAACACCCTACAGAGTACCGTTATATTGACATGACAAATCAATTTGACGGTCTTATCCTTACACAATGACAGAGACTTGACATGTACAACAATACAATGTAAATTTATGGATTCATATTATATCTCTTACTGTTAAAATTAACCTATACAGTAGACTGTTCATGTCTTTGTAGGTGGGCAAACTTGGAAAATCAGCAAGGGATCAAATACTTATTTCCCCCATTGTAAGTAAAGCATAGAGATCCTTCTCTGAAGTGGATAATAATAAATGCAACCATTCCTCTGCTCTCTGCTTCATTTGATATGGCAAGACCCAATTAACAATTCTGATGCCTTTTTGGACAACATCCATAATTCAGTTTCTCAAAGAACACAACTCCTGTGAATAAACTTTCTCTGGCTTCCAAAAAATTTAGAAATGACCTTTGACCCTTCCTTTGATGGGCAGCAGCAGCTGCTTCAAGTTTATTACCGATGTCTTTCTGCCTTTGGTGTCGTGTTAAGATGCATCTGTATACTCCAGATTTCAGGGGTTTATTCAACCTCATTAGAAAAACAGACAATATAAACAGTGCTGAGTTATTTTAGACCCATTTTATTGACTTTTACAGCAGCTCTTATACATGGAGGTCCTTGATAAACAGAGGATACAAATGTTTCAGTAAAAAAAAACTGTCCATCAAATATAACATACTGCCACTGACAGAAAAGTTTTTCGTTTTTGTTGCTTTAAACGTCAAACTCATACTTTACAAAAGGTTGCACACTGCCAAAAAGGTGTCCTTTTCTATAGACACATTTAAATGTAGCCAATCTACACTATGGCAGATGTGCAGCTCCGTGCATGTACAGGGCCAGGAACTTTCTGAAGCTTTCAGGTTTGTATCCTGTCAGACCAGCAGCTACCTGCAAACAGTCACAAAATTCCATCACAAAAGCATCATGTCAATCTCTCCATTTCTCTATCTGACATTTAGCCACATCTGAACATTAAACCAACAGGCCAACCAACTGGTTGTTCATTGCAGTTATACTAGCTTCCACTCCTCTTGTACAAGTTTCCACAAACTTCCAGAGTGTTTCTGCAGATATTTAGGTTCATTTATTCTTTATAGCACTATGAAGTCAGGCACTGATGTTGGACAAAAAAGGTCTAACTTGCAATCTCTAGTTCATTGCAAAGGTCTTCAATGGTGTTGTGGTCACGGTTCTGTGCAGACCAGTCAAGTTCTTCCACACTAAACTCATAAAACCATGTCTTTATAGTACTTACTTTGTGAGAATGGTCATTAATAAATAGTAGGGATGCAACAATACAGAAAATTGTTGATTCGGTTCGATACTTTAGTGTCACGGTTTGCAAAGAAAGAGAAACGTCCATGCCCTTCTTAACTTGTAATTCATTGAAAATTATGAACATTTGTTTAACCTCAAAAATACAGTTTTTAAATGAAATGTTGCTGAAACGGTAAATTTCTCAGTGGATCTGCACTCGACAATGCAGCCTAGGTGGAGTATTGGAACACAGATCCACTGAGCCTTCAGCACAGAGCATCTTCAGAAAACAAGCTGAATTTTAATAATCTGTATTGTTCCATACATAGTGTGTATTGTACCTAAAGAACTGTATTTAATGGATCAGTATTGTTGCTCCTCTGTTAAAAAGCAAATGAAATTTCCCAAATTGTTGTCAAAATGTTGGAAGAATAATATTTTGGTGTGTGAAGAACTGACATTACACACCAGTGGAACCCTGATTGAAACACTTATATTCAACAATTACATATGGCCAAATGCTTTAACTGTGCATCCATCTACAGTTTTTTCTTAACTTCAGCTAACAGTTTTCTTTTTTGGTGAACTGTATTTTGAGAAAGCAAAATGGATTCTCCAGGTTTCATTTCCTGCAAACGACTTTACTCAACAAAAAAAGATCGGTGATGTACTATTAGTTGCATCTGAACTTATGTTGTCAGATCCACCATAAAACTGTTATAAAAATGGAAAATATTGCTTTGAATTTATGAAACAGTGATGTATGTGCACGAACAGTGAGACAAACCGAGTAAGTCGTGGAAAATTAAAGTCTATTCTCTTTCAAGTCAAGGAATTTAAGTATCAGGACACAAACTGATCTGTTTTCATCAGGTTCTAAAGTTATTCGATCTGAACCTCAGCTGAACCAACTGTAAGATTACATGTAATTACCATTAAGTTGAAAAAATGAGTGAAAAGCTGCATATCTTTGACCCTTCCTTTGATGGGCAAAAACAGCTGCTTCTCTAAGGTCATTGCTGATATCTTTCTGCCTGTGATGTGGTAAAATACACCTGTATACTCCTGAACAAACTGACAAAAAGAGGTGGTCCCAATGCTGATGTTACCAGCAAAGACCAGATTTTTATTACATGAAAAACCCCAAAACTAAAAGAGGGTGGACTGACTTCCTTTATTTTCATCCATTCATTCATTTATCCATTTTTAGGAATTGAGAGCTGGAGATTCAAATTAAATTAATAATACAGTATATCTAAATAAGTAAATTGTTAGCCAAAGTTTAAAAATCATTTTGTCTTCCTCATCAATACCGTTATTACTTTTAAAAGTTAACATTATAAGAACAATAAAGCTGCTGTAATTCCTTAACTGTTTTGGCTGTCTGGCTGCTTAAAATGGATTAAGAAAGTACAACAGTGCAGAGTACTATGCTCATAGAGGATTTGCGTACCTTTACTTGCTTCTTCTTGATTAACGGTCGAACCTTAGCGAACTGATAAAGGTCAACTTCTCCATCCAGCCACACCTGCAGTAGATACAAAGAAAAGAAACTAATGACTTTACCTCTGAAATTTATAAATTAAAGTCTGGAAATATGACCTATGATAGCAGCTACCTCTCAAAGATTTGTCACTAAATAAAAAAGAAGAGAGAAAAAAATGATGATGAAAATGAGATATTTTCTAAAATAATGTTGGAAAGTACTTTGCCCTAAAAATAAACATTTCACCTGTCTCTATTTTAGCATTAGCTTTAATGTATTAATGTACAGTCAAACATGAATGCTGACAGATTTGCATGTGAAATATGACATTTGCCCTAAAAAGGTTTATTACAGATGTAAGATCAATGCACTGAAATATTGCAATATTTCCTATCCAGAGACTGTTTCGATTCTTTAAAGCAATGCATCAATTTTTTATTCAGACTTAAAATGTAAACTTTCATGCCAGCGGTTCATTCTTGTGTTGTAATTTAGACTTTGGCATTTAGCTCTTCCACTCCTAAAGAGTTTAACGCTAGCTCACATGTTAGCATGGGTTAAAGCAAAAAAAATAGTTTGACTGAAATATCTTTTCTAACCAACACACACACACACACACTTCCCCCCTCTCAC